TGTGTGTGTGTGTGTGGACTGATCGGTGCGTTCGTGTGAGTGAGCGCATACGATATGTGCATGCGATGGTTTGTTTGTGCGTGCGTGAGAAGCGTGCGTAGGTGTAGGTGGGTGGATATATGTGGGCATGTGTTTGCAGGTGCACAAGACTAAGATGCAGATACGTTCGTGGCAATCCGAAGCATCATATTCTCTTGCAAGATCACCCCACTCTGATTCTGACTAGTGACTAGGGTGTGTTTGTGTGTGCGCGCGCGTGTCTTGTAATTGATATATGCTGTGTCTTCTGTGGGATGGCCACGGGATTTTTACAGGGCTTTATAAGTCTTATAGGTTTGGGTAGTTGCAAAACATATTTTCATATTATTTATTATATATAATAATACATAATTACATAATATTAAATTCTGTGTATATATTATTTATAGGACTAGGGTCTAGGATGTATTTAATCTGTATACTGTATACTGTGTAAGTTGGTAGATAGGCAGTTGGGCAGGATAGGCTATTATAAAAGGTTTGTATATTGGGCTGCGCTAGTTGCATATATTGCAAATACATATTTTGCAAGCCAGACAGGGCCCGTCAGGACACTGTCCCGACGCCCACCCAGCCCACTTTTCCAGCTTGTTGGGACACAGTACACAGCACACAGTGATTATTGGGGGGCGGAATAGAGCAAAATAGGTTGATATTTCCATAGCAGGTTGGCAAATAGGAAGTATGGCTCGTCCTTTTAATTTCAATTCAGTCATCGTCATCATAGATCATAGTATTATTACGAATCCATCTCACTCGGCAGGAAGAAACCCATGACGACGGCAAAGAGGCCGCTGCGGTTTACCGTGAGGAAACAGCTGCATTGGCAAACTTCCGTGCCGGCTTGCAGTCTGAGACTGCAGTTGATGAGAGGATTGCGGAGCACCAGGCCATGGAGAGCGACTGGACAGAGCCGGAGGTGGACCAGGGTGATGCTGGGGGCCTGGAGGGCAATGACAACGATGAGAATGCCCTGGATATGGAGTTTGACGAGTTGGTTGCGGCCGGGAAGCCGTCCGGGTCGAGTCGCCCTTCCGGGGCTGGCAAGGCCCGGAAGCCAAAGTTGAGCAGTGACGTTGGAAGCCCCGGGCGTCTAAGGAGAGCCAGCAAGCAGCAGCTGCAGCTCACGGACAGGGCGTCGCCGGCAACACCGCCAGCGACGGCTGCTGGCGTGCCTGAGACGGGCGGAACTGCTGCCCTCGCCCCTGGTGCCACTGTGAAGCCGGCGGTCTCCAAGAAAGCCTTGGAGTTGTACGAGTCTAAGCGCCAGGCTGTGTCGGATCTCGGTATGTGGCAGGGCAAGGTGAAGAAGCGTGGGCTGGACCAAGCTGTGGATGCCTTGGAAAAGCATGCGCAGAAGCTTCTTGGTGATCCTGGGCAGAAGCAGCTGATGGACGACATGCTTGGCTTAGTGGAATGGGCTCCAAAGAAGTTCCAGCTTTTGAGCGCGCTCCGAAAAACGCCAGCGGATTATGTGTCCCAGCTGACCGAGGACGATCGTGAGTGCATGCAGAAGCTGGATCCCTCCCTGATGTCCACCATTGTGATCCAGACGGCAGGAAATCTGATGAAGGACATGGACCAGGACAGCGTGCTTGTTCCTATAAGTAGTACGCAATGTGATACAGTGTTGAGATCGGATCCTTGTGAGGACCCTGAGCGTGCCAAAACGATCATGAACTTGATTGCGTTTGAGCCAGCCTCGAACTCCACCGGCTTCTGCTTGGCACTGTACAAATCCATGGTAGATGACAAGCGTGCAGGCCTGTTGCAGACTCAAGTCATGACGATGACGCTGGACAAGATCTGGCGCATGAAAGCGGACGACAAGATTCGCAACGTGATTGGCGCGTTGCTTGGGCAGTGGGAGTGGTGCGTCATGTCGAATACATTGACCGTTATTGACTTTGTGACAGTACAGATTGTACAAAAGATATGATTGTGAATTTTGAATCATGCTTACTTAATGACAGGACTAAGTAGCTGTGGTAATCTGGAGTACTGTCATGTCTATTGAGTCTATTTCTGGCTCTTTCTGGAATTATTTGCTTCAGATCGAATCATTCAAGAAAAAATCAAAGAGGCTGCAAGTGACGCCGATGGACTTGTTGACCTTGTCCCCTGAGTGGCGACCTTCGGATATGCCTGTGGCCGGGTGCCGCTGGTCCACACGTGTTACCTTCGAAGTCCAGGTGGCACGTAGCCTCTGGACCAACTACGGTCAGGCGATTTGATGCGAGTAGAATGAG